AAACAAATTGTACTTCGCGCTCGTAGAAAAATGTGAAAATTTTATTTTCCGATCAGAAAAGTTGAAGTTAAAGAAGACGTTTTCGATTTAGAATCTTGCGTCGCTCAAGAATGTTTTTTCCCGCGAGGAAAAACATCGAATCGAAAGAAAAACAAAACTTTCCCGCTATATAAATTTCTTACCGCTTCCGTCTTTAACCGCGTCAACCACCAGTTGCCCGTTCCCTTACCGGCTCGCTTTGCCGGAAGTGATCTGTTTCGGTCCGGTTGGAGAAACCGAAAAACCACGCGAGAGAGAAGAGGAGAGGGAAAGGGGAAAGCGATTCTGAATTAATGTGCGTTTTGTACGATAGCTTTTCACGACGCGGGAAATAAGAGGCGGACGCGCGGCGCACATTTCGTCGTTTCTATTGTGTACCGTCCATTATTGAAAATTTGTAAAAACGAGTGCCTGTCGCGCGCGCGCATCGGAAAAGTGTATTCGCCGCGAACGCGGTCTCAGCTGCGTCCAAACTGCTTTCAACGGGAATCAATATTTCGCGAATGCCTCGCGAGAGGTTTTACGGCTGACAGTACGGCCTTTACAACGCAATGTAGTTTGTCGCGGCGCGCTGCAAGCCAAGAGGAAAACGTCGAATACACTTATATTTGGGAGAAAGCCAAAGCCCCGCGGAAAATATTGCGACGTCTATTGCTGCGAAGCTTTCAGAAAATATAATCGACGTATTAACTAGAAGAAATAACATGTTCCGAACCGATATTTTATTCTTACCTCTTCGCTGTAAGTTTTTCTCTTTAACTCGTGTGAAAATAATTTTCTAAACAATATTTATATACACGATATATGTTGCCGCTATGTGTTTTTTTCTTTGATGTTTTCTGTTAAAATCACGTTATACCGTTTCATTTAGCTGATGACTTCAATTAATCTCGTCTTTTGCAAGAATCACGCTCGGTCTTACGACTTGACGCCAAATTTAATTATTACAATGGCGTAATTGCGAGGAAGAAATGTCGCGGAACGCGCTCACTCCCTCTCATCGCGCGGGACTGAGGAGAAAATACTTGTACAAATTAAGTATGGCGGGAAATGGAGAAGATCTTGAGAGGACAGCGATGCGCCTTGCGAGGAGGAAAATGCGAAGGAGGAAACGAGAGAAATATAAGCGCGAGAAAGTCGAGATACGCTGCGAGCGTATCTCGGTTCGCGTCGCGAAAAGACAAAAGCGAGAAAAGAAACTATTTCTCTCTCACAATCTCTCGTCTCCTCGGCAGCAAAATTTCAATAAGTTTTGACGAAAAAGAAAATCAGCCGCAATGCCGAGCGGGACGGGTGAGTATAAAGTCGCGGGAAGATTCGCCGGGGAATGAAACGGGCTTGAGATTGTTGTTTTCGTGCAGAGGAGGAGCCGTTTAGGTGTAACGTCGGGAAGAAAATTATCGCGTGTCGGTCGCACGTGCACGCCGCGGCACGAATGAAAACGACGACTCCGTCGCCGCGCGCCCCAGGATGTTTGCACGCGAAAGGATTGCACGGGAGTCGCGCGGGATCTTGCGCACGCGGAGAGAGATGCCGGATAAACGGAGACGAGCGGAGTTTAAACGTGTGGGAAATAGCGGGGAAACGTTTAGGAACAACGCGGCGCGGAGGCGAACGAACAAGCCCTGGATGAAAGGGTAAAATGCGCGGTGTATGTTGCTTCCGCTCTACCGTCAAAAACACGATCCGCGCAACTTCTTGTTTGAAATTCCTCTCGAATTATAATTAGTCTTGAGAGACTTTCGGAAGCCGATTGTGAGGTAAGAATGTTTCTTTCTTATCTCTCTTGTATGTTTACTCATGTACATATATATACGTATACATTATATATGTGTGTATACATATATATATATATATATATATATACATATATATATTGTATATAATATATAGTTTATATATGTATATAGTATAAGTATATATATATTCAATAATTGGTAATTAATAGAGATTACTCTCAGGCTCTATAGTTTTTAAACTAATATATGAATATAAGGTCATGTGTGTGAAGAACCGTTCGCAGGGTGTTGTGCGGAAATGTGAGTATGTATATATATGAATGCATATATATACACACACACATACATATATATCTATATATCTATATGTATCTATATACAATATATATACATAATGTAGGAATATATTTTATTTGATGGCACTAAATAAAATTGTAAATGTTTTTATGAGATTAAAACTGATATTTAATACGATATAATATACAGTTAGTCAAGTATTGTCGAAGCGCGCAATTTCTACCGACGTCTTATCTCGTTAACGGATGTGTGAACCTTCTCTATCTTCTCAGCATTAAACGCTTTATCGTCACCTCTGTTACCTTGGTTCGGTTTGACTCGTCAATAGACAACAAGTACGTTACGAAAAAGCAAAATATTTGTCGCACCTTGTTTGCTGGGAAAGTCACGCAAATATACAATTTTGCCGAACATGTAACGTGTTATCAATATTCTTGAAATCGAAAATATTCAATATTGGAAATATAATTTCTAATCCTACAATAATGGAAATATAGTATATATATATACAGGGTGTTTCAGAACTATGGGATCAAACTTCTAGGGGTTATTCAGTGCAACAGTAGAAAACATTTGAGTATAGGGACCCATGTCCGGAAAAGTGTCACTACCGCACTACGGCCCTAAGACGCGTT